TATATGAAACACCTACAGCCAACATCATACGCAACAAGCAAAAACTAAAAGCCTTCCCACTAAGATCGAGAACAAGGATGTCTGTCCACTTTCACCACTTCTATTCAACATAGTCCCACCCACAGCCATCAGACAAGAAAAAGAAATAAGAGGCATCCAAATTGGAAAGGAGGAAGTACAACTGCCATTGTTTGCAGATGACATCATAGTATACATGGAAAACCCTATAGACTCCACAAAAAAAGCTACTCAACCTAATGAGTGAATTTGGCAAAACAGCAGGATACAAAGTCAATATGCAGAAATCAAATGCATTTTTGTACACCAACAATGAAATATCAGAATCGGCAATCAGGAAAAAATCTCATTTGCTACAGCAACAAGAAAAATAAAGTACCTGGGAATAAACCTAACCAAGGAGGTAAAAGACCTCTACTCAGAAAACTACACAGCACTGAAGATAGAAATTAAGGAAGACACAAATAAATGGAACCACGTACCATGTTCATAGATTGGAAGAATTAATATCATCAAAACGTCCATACTATCCAAAGCAATGTATAGATTCAACACAATCCCTATTAAAATACTAATGACATATTTCACAGATATAAAACAAACTTTTCAAAAATTTACATGAAACCAAATACAACCCAAATAGCTGCAGCAATTTTGAGAAAGAAGAACAAAGAATACCTGACATCAAACTATATTACAAGGCCACTGTTATCAAAACAGTCTGGTACTGGCATAAGAACAGAGACATAGATCAATGGAACAGAATAGAGAGCCCAGAAGTAAACTCATGTCTCTGTTGTCAATTAACATTCAAAAAAGAAGGCAGAAGCATAAAATGGAACAAAAATAGCCTCTTTAACAAATGGTGTTGGAATATCTGGACAGCTACATGCAAAAAAAAAAAATGAAATTTGACCACCAACTTACACTATACACAAAAATAAACTTGAGATGAACAAAAGACTTAAATATAAGTCATGACACCATAAAAGTCCTAGAGGAGAATATAGGAAACTCTCAGATATCCCACACAGCAACATTTTCACCAATATGTCCCCTAGAGCAAGGGACATGAAAGAATAAACAAGTGGGACCTCATCCAAAGAAGAAGCTTCTGCTGGGCTAAAGAAAACATCAGCAATAAGTAAAGGGAACCAGCCATATGGGAAAATATATTTGCCAAAGATACCTCAGACAAGGGTTTGAGCTCTAAAATATATAAAGAACTCACATGACTCCACTCCAGGAAGACAAACAATCCAATTAAAAAATGGGCAAAGGACCTAAACAGACAATTCTCCAAGGAGGACATACACAGGGCCCAGAGGTATATGAAAGGATACTCAGCATCACTAGCCATCAGAGAAATGCAAATTAAAACCACAATGAACTACCACTGCACACCAGTCAGAAAGGCCATCATAAACAAATCAACACTGCAAATTAAAACCACAATGAACTACTACTGCACACCAGTCAGAAAGGCCATCATAAACAAATCAACAAACAACAAATGCTGGCGAGGCTGTGGAGAAAAGGGAACCCTAGGACACTGTTGGTGGGTGTGCAGACTGTGGTGCAGCCACTGTGGAAAACAGTTTGGAATGTCCTCAAAAAGCCAAAGATGGAAATGCCTTATGACCCAGCGATTCCACTGCTGAGAATATACCCTAAGAATCCTGAAACACCAATTCAAAAGATCCTGTGTTCCCTAATGTTCATAGCAGCACAATTTACAATGGCCAAGTATTGGAAGCAACCTAAATGCTCAACAGCAAATGAGTGGATCAAAAAACTATGGAACATTTACACAATGGAATACTACACAGCAAAAAGAAAGAAAGAGCTAGCTACTACCCTTCACAACAACATGGATGGAACTGGAGAGCACTATGTTAGGTGAAATAAGCCAGGGGGTGAAAGACAAATACCCTATGACCTCACCTATAAGTGGGACCTAATTAACAAAACGAACAAGCGAACAAAATATAACCAGAAGCATTGAAATAAAAAACAAAATAACAATATCCAGAGGGGAGGAGGAAGAGAAATAACGGGGGAAAAGAAAGGGAAGGGTCATCAAGAAAGCTGTATAAAGGACCCATGGACAAAGCCAAAGGGGGGAAAGACTGAGGGTGGGAGGTGGCGGTGGGTAGGGCAGGGGGAAGTGGTGGCAGGAAAATGGAGACAAATGTATTTGAAAAACAAAAGAGTAAGTTTTTAAAAAATGGGCAGAAGAACTTAAAGAAATTTCGTCAAGGAGGACAGAGAACTAATAGACACATGAAAAAATGCTTAACATCACTAATCATCATGGAAATGCAAACTAACACCACAGGGAGATATCTCACACTTGTCACTCCATCACCAATAAATCAACAAATGACCAGTGGTGCTGAGGATGTGGAGAAAAGGGCACCCTCCTACACTACTGGTGGTGGTGTAGATTAGTGCAGCCACTATGGGAAACAGTATGGAGAGTCCTCAAGCAATTAAAAAACAGTTTTTATATGACCAAGCAATTCAATTTCTGGGCTTTTATCTGAAGAAAACAAAAACGCTAATTTAAAATGATATGCACCCCTATGTTCTTGTTAATTGCAGCATCACTTGTAATAGCCAAGATATGGAAACAACCTAGATTTCCATCTACAATGGACGGATAAAGAAAGTATATATACACACACAGAATGGAATGTTATTCATCAATGAAAAAGAATGAAATCTTACCATAAGTGACAATATGGATAGGCCTAGAGGGTACTATGCTACGTGAAAAATGATAGACAAATACCATATGATCACACATAAATATGGAATCTAAAAAAAAAAAATCAATAAACAAAACAAAACAGAAACAGACCCATAGATACAAGGAACAAGCTGATGGTTGCTGAAGGGGAGGGATTGGGGGATGGGAATTTAAAAATTAAAAATATTTACCTATATGTGTAAAAAAAAAAAAAGAAAAGACAATGGTAATTTTTTTTTAACTGTGTGATGGGGAAACAGATGTTTACTGTACCATTATTCTCCATACCTTATGTATATCTTGCAATCTTAAAATATTAAATAACTAGCAACTATTTAAAAAGTGAGTTTATGCAATTGTCATTATAGAAGGTATATACAGATATATGTAAATCAGACTCTCTTCAGAATATTTATTCAGCAGTGATACTCAACAAGAAAACAATTAATAGTACTTAATTTGTGCAGTAGCCAACATATCATCATATTTGACCACTTCCACATAATTAACTAGCCTTATTTTCCTAAATTTCAACACAGATACACCAGATTTTTCTTCCCACTCTATATTGTTTTCTTCTGCTTACTTAAAAAAAATCAAAAAAACTATTATTCTCTCAACTTCTCTGTAACTTTCACCGTTTAGTTTTTTTAAAAATCTTAACTTTTTTCTTGTTCTCTGAATGAATCTGAAGAAATGATGATGTCATACCTCTGTTAAAAACATACAACAGTACTATTTACATCACTCAAAATGATTATAAAATTAAATATTTTGATGGAAACAGCCTTTCAGTTTGCCTGCTTCGTTGTTTCCAACTATGTTTTGCCAAGAGGAACCTCTAAGTCAAAAACCAGGAAAAGGCATTGGATACTTTAATATTTCTTTTAATATCTCCCCAATTCTGTTACTTATTCTGCTTTTGATAAAGTAGTAAAAATGTCTTAGATACTTTAATATGTCTTTGTTCATACACCTGAGAATTCCTGTGGTCTTCAAAGGCCAACTATTTTCAGTACATCAAAAAGCATAAAACATATATTTGCTTGTAATTTGGCCATGCCAGGAAATGAAAATACTTTTTTCTTTTTCCACTGGGATTTTACTAGGCCTTTCTAAGTTAACTGGTTAACTCATGCTGATCAGATGTTCAGACATATGTCATTAATAAAAATAGAAAAATTAAACATGAGTACTTTATAAATGCAGTCTACAAAAATCATTCAAAATATGTGATTCATGAGGCAAAAACAATAAAAGTGGTCTTTTATTACTGGCATTTGCTTTTTAACCAGATATACTGGGATTTTAAAAAGAGCAATACCAAAATCTAGGGACCACTGATTGGAGAAGTTCGGACTATTCCTGCTATCAAAAACTCCAGAGAATGTTGATTTCCTAACTCTGTTAAAAATGTGCAAGCCAACTTTCAATTTTTTTGTATCAGTTCAGTTCTCTGCTCTTCAATTTTTGTAAAAAGAATAAATCACAGGAGCTGTTAGGAGGGAACATGAATTTCATACTGCATCTTCCTGCTCCAAGCCAGCTTAATGGCACTAGGACTCTCTATTCCATAGCTTTCAGCTTTCCTTAAAATCAAAATAAGATCCATCACAAACTACTATCCTTACAATGTTAAATACTCTGGGCATCTGACCAAAACCAAACTAAAAGGCAGGCCTTTAAATCAATACCGTTAAAAACAAATTAAGCCAGCCTTCCAAACAATCCCTTTTGCCCATGTAGGACAGCCCAGGGAACAGGTGCAAGGTGTCCCTTCCTAGAGGCTGTCTCCTCCTTCAGGAACCTGACCTTTTCCAGCAGGCAGCTCTGGCATCACATGAAGCAGATATCAGGAGACCTAATGCCTGCTTTCCCATCTGTGCTTTCCAAATGGCTCCTGACGCCAAGGGCTGAGATATGACCTGGCTCTCCGATGAGAACATGCCTCCCAAGTGATATGCCAAGTTTCCCTGGAAGCATTTCTAAGTATATGTTCCCTGAGCTCCCTCCTCACCCTCTCAGTCATGGTTCATTTTTCCCTCTTTACCGGCGTTTGCTAACTCCACCTCCCCATCCCATCCCTGTAATGCCATGTCTTCAGTCCAAACTCCGTACCCACTTTGGGGAACTGCTGATCTCCTCCCAGCCTAGAACTCCAACTTCAAATCCAAAAGCCATAGTTCAACAATTTTGGAACTGGTTTGAAGTGATCTTTTTTGAGGCATACCTGCAGGCAGCTCAGTTACAGCTTCTTCTCTCGCCTTCTCCAGCTTCTCCCTTACCCAGGGAAATTCCTGCAGGGAATCTAGAAATGCGTCAAATGCTTTAGGACCTCTGGAAGGTAGGATATCCAGCAGCAGCATTGTTTTCCGGAGGCCTGTAGTTTGAGCTTTGATTTCTTGAACATGGTTTTCTGTCAAGACCCCTTCCTGGTAAAGATACTGAAGAACCAGTCCCTCCACCAGTACTTCTGCACCCAGCTCCAGGCGAAGGGAGCGAAGCACTTGCTTATCTTTAGCCTCCATTTCCCCCTGGGAAGAGAGAAAATTGTAGCTCAGATTACAGAAATACTGATGTGCCCCTAAAGCTACTGCCCTCGAATGTCATCTCTCCTTAAGGAAATGGACATCTTTGAACCTTAGAGTGCCTGCCATGGTGTTTAACACATGGCTGATAAGCCAAGCCTAATTAACTTCAACTGTTTCTGAACATAACTAACGATCCTGAACGTGAATCATCTTTTCTAATTTTACTTTCCACACAACAGGGTCTCAGATCAATTCCTCGTTCTATGAAAAGATTTGGGGGGGAAAGTGGGTCAGATACCCTGCTTAAAAAGCAACTTTTATCTGGGTATTACAGAGTGACATTTCATTTTAACATAGTTGAGAAGAAATAGCGGTTTTATTTTAACATTGCCTTCAACAGAGCTGCCCCACCAGTGCAGAAACTGCCGGCAGGTGCTCTTCTGAACGTGGGCATTGGCAGAACCTGCTCGGCAATGGGCATGGGGGTCAGAAACCAGCAGGTGCCAATGAGTTTAAGAATCTCTTACCCTAGGAGAAAAGGCTTATACACTATCACCTTCAAGAAAAGCATTTAAGTGTTTGTGTCTGGTCTCCAATAATCTTGTATATAGTCAGAGTTTCCACCCCATCCCTCGAAGGATTCAGACTTGTGATCACGACACTTCTGTGACTACACACGCATGGAACATTCATCTATCTTTTCTTTAAAAAAGAAATGCCCAGCCCTGCCACGCTGGGTTTGTGGGCATACTGCCAAGCCACTACACCAGTGAGCTGAGTAGAGGTTGTGTAAGTGGGGGGGACACCTATACAAAGTGAACCACGCCCGCGACCCCCGCCCCCAGCCCTCCTGGCAGCCCCCGGCGCAGTCCGAGGGGTGGCAGGTGAGGATCCTGTGCACTTCTGGCTGCGGTGCCCGTTTGCAATTTGTTTTTATTCCCTGCCTCATCAGCTGAAGCCCTGTGGTATCACGAATAGGAGGGACTACGAAAGGTTTTCGGGCAGCCTGACCCGCTAAAAAGAGGGTGCCGGGAATGACATTCAGAGAGGACTGAGAGGAGAGAGGGGCCCCGGACACCCCTACCGCCAGCCACCCAAACCGGCCCCGCTCGGCTCGCCACGAGCGGGAGAGGAGAGACGGGGGAGCCACGTCGGCCTGGGCCCTGAGGCCACAGACGCCGCTGTGCGGGACCTTGGAGAAAAGATGGATGCGGGGCTTCTGGTTTCCTGTTACTTACGTCTGCAAACACGTATCTTAAAAAATAAATAAATAAAACTGCAACCGGAATCCAGACTGTTAGGGAACCTGAGCCATGAGCACCATGTTTATTAAAGGCGAAAACTGAAAACAGGAAGTACTGTCGCCATCTCTGTTGATGGCAAAGACAGGAAGTGCTGTAACTATCTTTACTGGGGGCTCAAGAGTCGGGCTGAAGCCTTTTCCGCCATGTTTGCTGTGGGTAGACAAACAAGCCAGCTGGAGATGAAAAGCAGTATCACTTAATGGGGTTATCTAAGGAAAAAAGTAATTAGATTATTGCATTTTTAACACAGTAACTCCGCCACGGCCTTGCACATCATTGAAATAATACATAATTCAAAAGACATTTTATCAGCGAAGCCTTACATGACCATGACCACTCTATTTAAAATTGCAAAATCCATCTCTTGCACTCCCATGCTCTTTTCCAACTTTATTTTTATCTGTAGCACTATCACCATATCACTAAAACTTCTACTTAAACATTTATCATATGTTTTCCTCCAGAAAAAAAATGCAAGTTCATTTCTTTATATCTCAAGTTTCCTGCTCACAAAGCATCTAGAAGCCAGTTAGGATTCAGTTGCAGTGATCAACTAGCTACTCTATACAGAAAGAGATTTTTCATGGAGGTGAATTGGGTACATTCACAATCATTGGAAAGGCTGGAGAAGGTCTGGCACACAAGCATAACTCCCTAAACAACACTGACAAACTGGCTCATGGCCACAACCAGGAACATGGAGTTGGGAAGCCATTACCTCACAGTTCCAGTCTTCTCAACACTGACAGAGTGACTGGACAATGAAACACTGATGCAGAAAAACCAAGGTCTCCACAGCTGTATTTGCTAGCAACATCAAAACAGAATCTGCAAATCTTATTCTGATGTAGAAGGGAGGACCCCTTAAAAAAAGAACAAAACTGTCTCCTGGAGGGTGGACCCCTTATAGTGCAGGCTTCCCTTGCTAGGTGAGTGTCCTAGGAACCCACCTGCATCAGTATACCAGCTGGCATTGTTGTGAAAGGCTGCCTTCGGCTTCAGTGATTTTTCTTTTTAAGAGTCTTTCAGTGCATTTTCCCATTTCATGAAGGGTGATTTATGAGCACGCCTGCCCCCACCACAATGTGTTCGGCAGTTTTTGACCAAAAACAGAATGACCCCTGTGACCCTCCCTATTTACCTGATCTCACCCCAGCAACTTTTTTTGTTTCCCTGGATGAGAAAAGTCCTCAAACGGAATTGTTTTGCCAGTGTGGAAGGGGTGAAACAAAAAATGGCAGAAACACTAGAAGGCATCAAAATCAACAAGTTCAAAAACCGTTTTGAGCAGTGGAAAAGACGTCTTGACAGGTATAATGTATCAAATGGGGAGTACTTTGAAGGTGACTGAAGTTTAAACATGTAAGCAAATATATACAATTTTTTTATAAATAAATTCCAGGGGATTTTTTGGTTCCCTCCTCATATGCAGTTGGTGAAACAATTCACATGTGGACCATTACCAAACAAGTGTGTCTGGAACATGTAGTTTGGAGTTTTCCAGCTTCTGAAGCACAGAGAGGTATGCTAAAAAGAGAGAGGGGCTCATCCTGTGATACTGGGTGATAGATCTGCTGAGTTCACCATATTTTTAATTTGGAAGCCAAGACAAATGCATGGTCCAAATATAAAGAGATTCAAAAACATCAAATTGAGGTTCTTTCCTCAACTTTTTTTATAAAATGAGGCAGTCAGTCAATAAATACATCAATAAAATCAATTGGATGGTATATACAGAAATCATACATACTGTTAAAACTTAGTTGACAGTAACAACCCCCTCCCCCCCAAAAAAACCCTTAGGTATCATTATTTCCATAGAGGTTTTCATAACCAGCTCCTCTAGTGGAAGATGAAATATCTTTATAAGCAAATTAATGGAGAGCAATTCTAATCTCATGCCTCAAAACCTTTCAATTTTTGTAACCAGTTTAAAGTGTTATTACATCAATCCACCATTTTACTATATGATATTTTTACATGAGTGGCAGGTATTAATTTTATAACTAACATTTTACATATGTGAGGAGTGTAGAATCAAAGTGGTCAAGTGTCTTTGCCAAAATCTCACAGTTAATATATGTGAATAGCAAAACCCAAATTCTATCCAGTTGTCTCTGGTTTCATGCTATTTCCAGTACACAGTACACTACACAGCCCTGTATGGTGAAGAGTCTATTGTTCAAAATTTTGGCAAATCATTCTGGTGCCACCCCTCACTTTTGATACTCTTAAGTTCCAGGTACTCTCTTCACTCTCTCCCTCTTCTTTTGCTCTGGAACTGTTGTCCTTTCCTGGGCAAGATTTCTATGTGTAGACAGGTATTAGCAACATTCTCTCTCTTTATCCAAATAAAGTGCAGACCTCGTGATTCTGTCAATAGCTGAGGTTATTGACTTTCAGGGAAGGAAAAAAAATGTATTTTTTCCAACTGTAAAATAAACTTTGATAATTTTCCAACACACGGTAAAGTTAAAACAAATAGCATGCACACACACACCCCCCCCACACACACACACATAAACCCTAAAACACTACCTAGTTTAAACACTTAATGATTTGTTGTATTTAGAAAGGCTTTAGATCTTCTGGGAAATAGAAGGTGACATTGATGATGACATCCGGGGAAAGATGAAGAGCCAACAGTGAGTTCTATGAGAATTCACAGAACAGAAGTGAGGAGAATAAGGGACAGCATGAGAAGAATTAGTACAGAAGCCAAGGGGCATTGAGTCCTTATGGTGAACAACCTGAGAGGTTAGCATTGAAGATCTGAACTAAGTTCACAAGATGAAGCCCTTGACCATCAAAATCATCTTCCTATGGCAGATTTAGATGAGCATCCATGCTGCCTCCTAAGAGGCCTCACTAACTCTCTGACTGATTAGCCAGCTGCCATCAATTAGCCTGTTGGAAGACCACCGCCCACTCTAGCATGCAATGATACTTCTAAGAAACACACCAAAGGTTCAGCTTCGCTTGCATAAATATCCGAGGCCAACAGGCCCCGAAGGAATCCACAATAGAGCAGAATCACTATCACAGATGTTACCCCTCCACTATGTCCCGTCCTTCTCCCTAGACTGGAACTGTGCCCCACTGAGGATTAAGCACCTGTTACCCAGTGGCAACCAATCCATTTTCAGGAAGGACAGATATTTTCCTTTTTATCTCTCCCTACCATGTTTACTTACTCCAAGCTATACTCCTTGCGAGTTTTCAAAAGAAAGAGTCAAAAAAGAGAAGAACAAGTGTAGTATTTTTCTACGTTTCAACTTGGTCTTTGCCTTTGCAACCTTCAAAACAAAATCTGAAGGAATTACTTCTGGTTTTTCCTGCTTCATAAGATGTGGAAATGAACCCATGGAGAAAAACAGATTCATTTCAAGCATACCTGAAACAGTTACAGAAGTGGGTCATGAATTAAGTCGCAAAGAAACTTCAATAAATTTTAAAAAATCAATAGCATACAAACTATGTACTCTACCATTTTACAGTGAAGTTGGAAATTTTAACAGAAGTGTTAGAATTTACACTTTATGTATCTTTAGAAACAAAATAAATCAACTATTAAACCCTTGAGCAAAAAAAAAAAAAATCATACACATTTGTATTGATACAACCACAGAAAAAACATCATGGAGATTCCTCAAAAAATTAAAATGGAATTATCATATGATCCAGCAATCGCACTTCTGGGTGTAGATTAAAAAAAATGAAATCAGTATCTCAAAGAGATATCTGCACTCTTATGTACAACAACAGCTGCAACATAAACGGCCATCAATGGGTGAATGGATAGAATCTATATATACAGATTATGTATATAAAATTCAGACTTTAAAAAGAAAAGAAAATCACTCCTATTAGAATGGCCAAATTCCAGAACTCTGACAATACCACATGCTGACAAGGATGTGAAGCAACAGGGATTCTTATTCACTACTGGTGGAAATGCAAAATGGTACAGCCACTTTGAAAGACAGTTCTGCAGCTTCTTACAAAACCAAACATACTCTTATCATGTGACCCAGCAATCATGCTCCTTAGTATTTACCCAAAGGAATTGAAAAGTTATGCCCAAACAAATGCCTGGACATGGCTATTTAGAGCAACTTTATTCATAGTTGTCAAATCTTGGAAGCAATCAGGATGTCCTTTAGTAAAGGAATGTATAAATATACTGTGGTACATCCAGAAAATGGAATATTATTTATCTCTAAAAAGAAATGAAATGACAGAGAAATCTTAAATAAATATTACTAGGTGAAGGAAGTCAGTATGAAAAGGCTATAGATTTATGATCCCAACTATATGACATTCTGGAAAAAATGAAACTATGGAGACATTAAAAAGATCAGTCATTGCATAGGGATTGGAGGTGGGGAGAAGATGAATAGAAGGAAAGGATACAGAGGATTTTTAGGGCAGTGAAAGTACTTTTTGTGATACTATAATGATGAATACATATTATTATACATTTGTCCAAATCTACAAAACACACAACACTAAGAGTGAGGCGTAAGGATAACTATGGAGTTCAGGTGATTATGATGTGTTGATATAGGTTCATCAGCTGTAATGAGTGTACCACTCTGGTGAGGAATTTTGATAATGGGGAAACTAGGAATGTGCCCGGTGGAGGCTATTTCGGAAACCTTTATTTTCCCCCTCAATTTTGCTATGAACCTTAAAATGCCACAAAAAAAATGTCTTAACTAGAAAAACAAAAAGAAACCCTGTCATATACTACAACATGGACAAACGAGGAGGATATTATGATAAATGAAATAAGCCAGACACAGAAAGATAAATACTGCATGATCTCACTTACATGTGAAATCTAAAAATGTCAAACTCATAGAAGCAGAGAATAGAAGGGTGGTTGCTAGGACCTGGCAGGTGAAGTAAAAGAGATATTTGTCAGAAGGTACAAAGTTTAAGTTATGCAGGATGAATATGTTCTGGAGATCTAATGTTTCTACATGGTGACCATCACTAACAAGGCTCTATTGTATATTTGAAATTTGCAAAGAAAGTAAATCTTAAATGTTTCATCACA